GCCTCGAACGACGCGTCCCACACGCCCGGCCGGAACAGATCCTTCACGTCAAACACGTTAAACTCCACATTCGGCTCGGAGATGTACTCGAGCAGCACGCCGAGTACGGCGAGAATGAGCGGTGCGCATGCATGCGGCGTCTGACAGTCACGATCAGGGTCCTCGCGTCCGGCGGAGTGCACGATTGCCATGACGTGGCGCGCTTGGTGCGCGTGCGCGAGGTGGAGAGTGTTACGGATGGGTGCGGGGACGCGCGTCCACGCGGGTTCGGCGTGGAAACGCGGGGCGTTGAGCCGAGCGGCGCGGATGTAGGCGGCGGGGAGGAGCCAGAGCGCGTTGACTTCATGAAGGACGCAGAGGGCGTCCAGGTTTGCGCTTGCGGAGGAACGGAGCTGGGTAAATCCATCGGGCAGAGTGTTTAGCTCGGCAAGAAATGTAGCCAGCTGGGTCGGGTAGACGCGCACGAGGTGGTCCAGTGCGCGTAGATGCAGATATTGGATGTCGTATTTGTGGCTCAGGCGAAGAATCGCCAAGGCATCCGATAATTCGACTGTTAATGGTGGAGGCATGAAGAAACTTCGCAGACTTTGCATTAGTTTTTGTATACTTACTCCCGCATCGATGCCCACCTCGAGTCGAAGATTGCTCTGAGAAATGGTTCCACTTCCACTGCCTTGTCGTGGAGCTCGACGGTGGGGATATTTTCCACTCGTTCAGTTGGAGACACCTCAGGACCAGGCTGCGGAAACGAAAGCATATCTTGGAAGACGGAGGATCGTGCAGCGAGTACTGCACCTGACACGCGGAACAGCTTCTCCTCTGCTCGGACGACGAGGCTGCCGTCAGAGAACCAGAGATCCCGTACTCGGTTCTCGGTTGAAGACGGGCCTGTATGAGCCGCCATGCCAGCGTACAGTATCCTGGTCTGGCAGGCACGGCGGTGGCAGTGAGGATCAAACAGTGATCGGTCCGCCGGGCCGCTAGCAAACGCTTTAAGTTTGTCGACACAAGTTTCAGAGATATGATGATACGAGCGACTAGAAACAACGAGAGGAGTAGTCTGGTTGCGTCAGGGAAATTTTTATGTGTATCTTTCACTTGCGAACGGAATGCGAAATAGAACAAAAATTCGGATAATTCTATTCAGAAACCCGGTTTTCCCAATGTTTGTTTGAAAACCGGGTTGCTAGAAACCCCCGTTGATGGTATCAGTGATGCCGGAAATGCCGGTGTGATTGCCAATGCGAGTGCCGCACTGTTATATTGAGTTCCAACACATTCCTAGTGCTATGTACTACATGAACTGGTCCAAATCTAATTAAGGTGACATAAAACTTTAATAGGAGCAGTCACATTCACTTTCCGGCACGTCTGTTTCTGTTTCTGCACTTTGTCTGGTTGCGCCCCATTTTGGCAGGGTGTTCACACTATCTCGCCTGAACTAGCTTGATAGTGGTTCAGACCTACCCTTCCAATTCCCTGGTAGTCTAATCTCTGCATTCTATACCCAAGAGAATGGATGTTGGCTGGCTAGAAGAAAGGCATCAATCCATCAAAGTGTGTTCAAGTTCAACTGCGATGGTACTTGGTCAATGCCAGACACCAGCTGCATCGGAAACTACTTTGTATATTTTAAGCATAAACAGATAGCTTTTTAAATTTTTCTGCAGTCTCTTCATGAATGGAGACCCTGCCACAGGTAAGTTCAACTTTGAAACTCCGACTGCGGCTTGATCGCCGTAAAAACAACGTAAAAGGTTTCCCAATAATTTTCGGGAGGGGGTTTCCGTAAATTACCATATATGGTGGGGTTTCCGCCTGCAACCGGGTTTCTGAATAGAATTATCCCAAAAATTCAACCAATATTTGACGTACTACGACGTTTGGCCAGTAGTACGGTATATATGTAGACCAACGTTGAATAAGTTCTTGAAGTAAGAGAACCTTTAGCCCGTTCTTCATGGATCCACGTCCACCTAAATTGTCGGATTTCTGTTGAACGACTTAACCTCTTATAAGCAGACGCTACAACAAAATTTATTTGGTCGCTTGACCTAACGTATGAGCGACCTGTGATCAAGAAGTTGGACTTGCGACAATGCAAAACTGCCCTCTGCAAGAGACCTTAACACTTCTCATCGGAACTCTTCCAGGAACATAAGATCATACAATTTGCTCAAATACAATGGAGAACATCATGTACGACATAAAACATTCGCTTCACTCGTAATTCGGGGGGGCATTTCAAGCGGTGATGGGGATGCAGTTAATCGCGATGAGTCCACCCCACTCCCGCTCGGGAGCGTCGCAGGTGACGCTGGTGCTTCCGCTGGATTCCGCCGTCAGCGGTTGAACAGACACAAGCGTGAATGCGGCAGCCTACCAGTTGTTCCCCGCAACGGTGATGGGGCTGCAGCTCAACCCGACGGGGACATCCAGGCCGGTGAGGTCAAGGCCGAGCAGGGCGGCGACCGCAGACGCGGCGGTGCTGGAGGACGAGACGACGCTGTTGCAGCATTGGTTCGACGTCGGGGGCGTGACGGGGGGAGTGGTGTTGGGGGTGGCGGCCGCAAGGGTCTGCCGATGCCAATATCGATTAATTTTTGAACACGACGAGGATGTAGAGGAGAGCACTTACGATAAGCACATATGTTACGACAACAGAAATCTTGGAGAACATGTTATGGGTTTGTTAGAGAGCTTGAACGACGCTGCTGTGTGTTCGAGTGAAGACTTGGAGGGTGATCGTCGTGGCTTTTATACTGTTCGCGGCCGCATGGTGCTGAAAATGGAACAAATTCCGAGCTGACTCGATATCAGCGTTGGGGAAAGAGGATTCCAGCAGCAGAGTGGAGCGGTGGAGCTGCTGGGGATGCCCTGAGGTCGGGAGAGACGGTGGGTGACCCAGATATGACAAATAACTCAATCCGAAACCGTTTATCCTCGACGGCGAGCATCGGAAACAGGAGAAGGAATGTCGACGAGTGGAGCGATGGAGCCAAGAAAGTTCTGTCGAAGGCAGGGCAGGAAAACATGCCCCAGCAGGAAGTCAGGCTATAGTAATAGCTGGGCTCCTCCCACGTCAACGATCGTCGAACAACAACGGCAACAGAACGTTCGGAGAGCGGTGATTGCGACGTCATTGACGACGACCCTTGTCTCTGGAAACAGACGAAACAGCAGGAAGTATATTTTTTTGAGCGCCAGGGATAAAAATCCGCAAGCATAATTCAAGCCTAAAGAGGTCGACTGAAAGTCATTGTCCTTCACATGTTTTTTTCGGGCACTCCTATGCGGGGGAAACCTGATGAGCCAAGTCATCCCTTGTGTGCCGATCTGGCAGATGTGCCCTGAATTATGTTCTCGGTTCCCCAACGGAGAAAGATTGAGTTGAAAGCCGAAATTAAACACACTGCCTCGTTGAATCAAGACATCGTGGAATTTCTAAGAATTCGACAAAAGCCAACGAGGGTTAGACCCGTTTCTTGAGCCTGAGCGTCTGTTCCACGATTGAAACGGGCAAAGTAGATCCCGAGTCGGTGCGCATCGTTATATTTGAGCGAGCCTAGGGGTTTCTATCCTCCCTCGATATCTGGTTTTCGGCGTTGAGACCACGGGAGCAACGGAGTCCAGACCGCACGGCACAATTTCCGCCGTGCGGCATAACGATATTTTCGCGGTCGGCTCACACCCCGAGGGGTTCCAAGACATGAGGCGACATGTATTTAGATAGTCCTCGAGTCCCCGTGGTCTTGTCCTCGGAGCAGAGATCAAGTAGTGAGTAGATGCGGAGATGAGATGGGAATAACAAGTTGCAGGGGACAGTTGACGTTCAGCCACAAACATCGAAACACATTGAATATCGACGCGTGATGCGAGATTTAGTCGGAGGAAGAAACCGGATTCGAAATGACGTCGCAGGTACGAGAGCCATATACACCAGCAGTGGTTTTGTGCACTACAGCCCTGCTCGGTGTCCCTCGATGGGCTTTCTCGGGCTGCTAACCACCCATTAATGAGTGTAGTTCAGTTCACGTGGTCTTCCCCTCCGGGATTGAGCTGTGAATTTTTGCACTTCCACCGTATGGGGCAAATGGTGCGGGAGTTTGGGGGAGTCCTGAGAAACAACACCCGCTTTGAGATCAGGGCACTGAAGGAGCGCGTGGTGAATTAAACCGGGGTCAATGCGTAAATTTGGCATAAGGCGGAGGCATTTGTGGGACCAAGACTCGTTGTTGCGGCCTTCCTCACAGCAATAGCAAGGGGAGCCAAACCAGAGTTTTTTTCGTGCAGCTGAAGTGCTTTCGTTTCTCGTTTCTACGTCTCTCGGCCAATTAGAAAAGCCCGACTCCGTTCCTTTGAAGGCTAGTGCCATTGAAATTACGAGCCCCCGAGTTCCTGACGACGTGGGTTTTTTTCATCGCATAAGTTAGCTCTCATAAAATTGGTCGTGATATTGTCCCCATGGTTCCCAGATGTCGAGGGTAAGAGTCCAAGTGGAATTAGGGCGTATGAAGCACCATAGGTTCCCGCAGCGGAAGGAGAGTGAGTATTTAGGTACAGAGGAGGTGCGCACACGACACGTGGCGAAAGACCCGAAATCAGTCGCGGCATCGGAGAAAATGTCCCGGGCCCTCCCGGCAGTTCACTTCTCGTTGTCTTTTCTCTTCGGTCCATTTTCTTCGACTCTAAAAGGGGAGGAGCGGGGATCTATTTATCTGACGTAGTTCACAACATCCTCTTTCAACCAACTATAGTGTAGAGATGATGATAAGGACGTGCAAAGACTGTGAAGTTTGAAGCACGGGTCACGGAAGGAGAGACAATATACCAATGCATTGAAATGATTTAGTTGGTTAAGCACATGAAGGCAACACAAATTCCCTTCATATTGTGGCGCAAACTGCGGCGACAGAAAAATAGAATTCCAACGCAAGCGCTTCCAACTCATCCGTTGGGTCAGTACTGTTATGTCAATCAACAGTGACCTACGTCGCATGGAAGCTGTAGCTCAGTGGTAGAGCGTACGATTGCAATTTGATGCAAATCATCGTAATGTCCCGTGTTCGAACCACGGCAGTTTCTCTTTTTGTCTTTTTCTCACTCCTTAAGCGAAGACATTGATTCCGCTTCTTTTTGAACCCCCGAGCTCGAACACAGATTGTCCCATGTCACGACCATGACCTTGAGCCATGGAGAAAGTGGTTCAATATTTTTCTTTCCCGGTTTCCGGCTTTGAGCAGAGTTTCCGGAAGTCATCACGGTCACGGTCACGGTCACACTATCTCTCCTTCGGCCATGTCCACGCTGCCAACGGACTCTCAACCGTGCGTGTGTTTCTCCTTTACGAATAATTCTTTCCTGAGCAAGATCAGTCCTACAGTTGCCAGTCAATTAGCCTCAATCAACCAAGCAATCGCATGGCACTACACCCAGATAGCAATCTTGAAGGCGCAAGCAAACGCGCTGAACCCAATCTCTACGCTTCCCAACGAGCTCATCTCCAAGATCTTTGGCATATATGCATTCATTGATGGTCCCCCCTATGATCTGAAGTGGACAAAGGTGATGCTCGTGTGCCGTCGCTGGCACGCCATCGCACTGAGCGAACAATCATTGTGGGGTTTTATTGAAGTATCGTACTCGCGCAATATCAGGCGCGTCCAAATGCAACTCGACCGCTCCGGTGCCGCCCCAGTGACGGTCAAGATCATGTCGCTGGACTCGGGACTGTATGCGGTGATCTTGTTGGAGCATGCAGAACGTCTCTACCAGCTGCATCTCTGCGGTCCGGCACCGCGTGTCCTCGACTTCATGAACTCCCTTCCCGACCACAGGTTCCCGCTCTTGCGCTCAGTCAAACTCGACCCGAGCTATAAATGGGAGGAAGTCCCGGAAGATGTGCCGACCGCATGGCCGGATGTCCTCTTCGACGGGCGTGCGCCGTGCCTGACGGCATTAGATTTGTCCCACATCCGCATTAACTGGAGCCTCCTCCAAGGATTTGATCGCCTCTTGCTCACGCTGACGAACGACGCGACCGGCGAACCCGCTACCTTCGCCAAAGTTCTGTCCGCCTTGAGAGCATCCCCGAATTTGACGTACCTGAAGCTCGGTCGAGTCATTGGCTCTCATTTCCCCCTCCAGTCTTATCCTGTCGTGTCGCTCCCACGTCTCGAGTTCATATGGATCCAGGACGACGTCGCTCTCTGCAACGAGCTCCTGCGCCACATCACAATGCCCTCGACGGCGCGCATATCCGTCTACGGATTCGGCATCCGCGCCGGGGCCGACATCGCACCTCTCCTCGTCCCGGTCCGCAAGCATGTGCGTGCCCGTGATGCGCCGACCCTGCGTTGTCTGCAACTCGACGCGACCGACTCGCGCGGGCGAACGAACTTCATGCTCAGTACTTTCACCGCAACAACCGCGCCGAACGCGCTGGAGTACGACAAGGCGACTTTCCTGGTAAACACACACCCCGCGACGGAGCATGCGCTGCGCACGATCATGACCAAAGTGCTAAAGGCGCTACCCTGCAGCGGCATAACACACCTCGACGCGCGCGCCGCGCCGCACCTCACCGTCGCGTCGTGGAAGGCCGCGCTCGCGCTTCTCCCTGCGCTCGAGATGATGTATACCTTCGTCAATAGCGCCGCGACGCGCCTGTTCACCGCCCTCGTCGAGCTGACGGAGAACCCCCGTGGCGGGGTGTTCCCGCCGCTGCGGCATGTGCACCTGTACGCGTACGTGTGGCGGCGTTCCGACGACGGTGGGGCCGATGCGGACGTTGTTGCGCCCGTGCTCGCGGCACTGCGCCGCCTGCTTGCCGTCCGCCACAGGCGCGGGACGCCCCTCCCCGTCCTGGAGATCGACGAGCAGGTGGATTCGCTTGGGATGCGCGAGGAGGAATGGGAGGCGCTCTTTGAACAGGTGGGGAAATTTATTCGGAATGGGGAGGACTACGATCCTCCCGCACGGCGGCGGGAGATAGAAGAGTTCCGCCGGAAGTGGAGCGCGGGCCATCTGGGTGACTCGGATTCCGAGTAGTGACTCATTGCGTGAATTCACATACATATGTCCCTACTCATGCGATGTAGTGTACTTAAGTACACCCCGCACATTTCACTAGTGCGCAGGACGGAAGCATCGACCAGTCTTTGAATGCGGGCCGTGGGTTGCTGATGTGTCCGCTTTGTAGTGTGTACTCGATCGGATTCCGTCTGCATTTGTAATATTTCTTCCATGGGAGTCTTTCCAGGCTGAAGGTTTCGTTTGTTCGCTTTTTTCAGGCATACTTCTACTTCAAGTTGGTAGGTTATACAAAACGTTCTTTTGCTGTGACTTGATAGCCGGGAGTAGTTATTTTGTCTCTCAGTCCGAGGAGTAGGGTTGAAGATCAACCTATTACTAGTATTCAATCCGAAGTACATGTGTATAGTGGATTCCAAATGCACTTTGAGTCTATAATACTTAGTGCTACAGTACCAGGGAACCACGGTACCACACTCTCCAGCCTACACTCTTCCATCAACACAGGAAAATACTTTTTGCACAGATTTATGCATCAAGTGTTCTTCAATAAAAGGACACCGTCCAGTACAGTGCTAAAGAAAGAGTCGCCTCCGTGTGTGATCCAGCGAAAACCACCAAGTTAGCGATCAAATTCGGGCCGGTCGGCAGAGAGGTTCGGCCGCCATGGTGTTTCGCAGAGGCGCCACACTACAAGCAGAACTATCTATGATTGTGGGAACCAAGTCCAATGATCTAATAATCAGCCCTACAGTTTGATTCCGGATATACCAGTGGAGCTGGGCTTATCATAATTACAAACTCCGCGACGGCTTGAATGCCGGGACCCGGATGTATCATCATCGGAATTATTGCGAGTACTATACGGGAAGGAGTCAGGCTAAGGGGACCTTTTTCAACTCTATAGGCTGTGAATTATCTCTTGAGATAGTTACAGTGGTGCGAATTTGATTTCAAGGAGTGTGTATTTTTCTGCCCGATCGTGGAGGTCGTGAAAAATTCAATGAACCGGGTGCCAGCGGTGAACTTTTGGGTAAGAATACGATGGTGAGCTAATAAACAACCGCCAGCGCACCAAAAATTTATGGCACACTATTACAGCCATATGTGTGACATCACGTTGAACTAAAATTATCAGCACAGCCCTTGGCAGGACACCTTCCCGCTCTTCCACCTCGTGGCGCGACTTAGGACTTGCCCTGGGGTTCCTTGTGTAATTCGCTACAATCGCAAGTCTTTCCATTGGCTGGTTACACACTGGCTTCATCTTACTTCGGGTACCGGGCTCAGAATTGGGACTGGAAACGTGGCATTCTTACCTGACAATATCACCCGGATTGATTCGACACATCGACCATAGCCTCTACTGGGGGTTGCATTGTTCTCACTGATGTCCCGGCGAGCTCGATATGCTACTTTGGTTTGCATAATCCTGGTATTTGGCATTTTCTCAAACTTGGCGTCCCGTCCTAAACCGCCTCACTAGCTAGCCCTCGTCGGTCTACATCGAAAATACTCGACAATTCTCGTCAATGAATCATGGCCCGAGGCTTTTCCGGGAACAGTTCAAGTCGCCGACATTATTGAAGAGCCGTCGGTGAAGACTGCTCCTCCGCCAATAGCGATCGACGCCACGGGTTCGCAAGCGCGGGCCAACGCGACGTTTATAATCCTCGCAAGGAATTCTGACCTCAAAGGTGCGCTCCTGAGTGTACGGCAGCTCGAGGACCGCTTCAACCGACGGTACAACTACCCATACGTATTCCTCAACGAGGAAGAGTTCACAGAGGATTTCAAGCGGTATGCTCTCAGGTTGATGGACCAGTCTCATCTCATGTTTCGTTGGGTGATTAGCCGTATACGCAATCTCACACCCTCGCGTGTTGAGTTCGGCGTCATCCCCGCCAACCACTGGTACCAACCCGACTGGATAGACAACGAAAAGGCGCAGGCGGCCATGGATCAGATGGATCGTATGAATGTGAAATACGGAGGTGGGTCCCAATCTAATGTTGTTTGGTTCTTGAAAAACTTAGTGGAGACAGGAAACCTTGCGTTAGCTTTTCCCCTTCATTGCTCTTGGCTGTTGAATGACGACTCCGCCTTTATTCCAGATATCACAACATGTGTCGCTTCAACTCAGGTTTCTTCTTCAAGCACCCGTTGGTGCTCAAGTACCAATGGTACTGGCGTGTCGAGTTCGTTTTGCTTCTATAAAGCGGTTCTGAATCCTGATTGTCGCTATTTTTTTAGACCAAATATTAAGTTCCATTGCGACATCAATCGCGATCCATTCATGTTTATGGCTGAAAATAACAAGACATACGGTACGCTTCAGACCGGACGCATTCAATCAGGCTTACGGACTGCTTAGGATTCACGCTTTCTGTGTATGAAATTCCCGCGACGATTCGGACGCTTTGGAGCAGTGTCAAAGGTATGTAGTTGTCGCCGATATTATTCGACCTTGGTGCGGATATTCTGCGTACAGAGTTCATGGCGCGACATCCCGAGTACCTCCACGAAGAGGATAACGCGCTCCAGTTCATCTCGAATGACGGCGGACGAAGCTATAATAGGTGTCATTGTAAGTCGAGCTCCCACATCCGAGCAGGCGTTCTGTCCGCATACGCTAATCGTCCCATCTGCCTATAGTTTGGAGTAACTTTGAAATCGCTTCCCTCGATTTCTGGCGCAGTGAAGCGTACACCGCGTTCTTCGAATATCTGGACGCTACGGGCGGCTTCTACTACGAGGTATGTTTCACCGGGTCCTCTTCGCTTCATCACATCGAATTAATGTCGATCTACACAGCGGTGGGGCGACGCGCCCGTCCACTCCATCGCGGCTGCGCTCTTACTTCCCAAGTCGCGAATACACTTGTTCGAGGAAATAGGGTACCAGCACGACGACTGGAGCCACTGTCCGAGAGCCCTGGACGTATGGGAGGCGGGGCGGTGTATGTGTTCTAGTCAGGATAGCTTTGGTGCGTCATCGGCTTCAATTGGCGGTACCGGGCAAGGTGCTGAACTCGAACGGCTCATTCATTGTGT